AGAGGAGAGGAGAGAGGAAAGAGGACAGGAGAGAGGAAAGAGGAGAGAGGAGAGTGGAGAGAGAAGAGAGGAGAGGAGATGAGAGAAGGGAGAGGAGAGAGGAGAGGAGAGAGGAAAGAGGAGAGGAGAGAGGAAAGAGGAGAGAGGAGAGGAAAGAGGAGAGAGGAGAGTGGAGAGAGAAGAGTGGAGAGAGAAGAGAGGAGAGGAGATAAGAGAAGGGAGAGGAGAGTAGAGAGGAGAAGGGAGGAGAAGGGAGGAGAAGGGAGGAGAAGGGAGAGAAGAGGAGAGGAGAGAGGAGAGAACAGATACAGGGGGAGAGAGAAGAAAGGAGAAAAGAAAGAGGAGAGAGGAGAGGAGACAGGATGACCCTGGACCTAAGTTTCCCGACTGGTGTCGCGCGTGGGGTGTGATTATCTTTGCGATGTATGTGTCACGTGTCCGCATTCGGGTTCGTGGATCCTATCATGTTGCCTAAGACAACATTGCCTCTTCCAGGCGGAACTCCAGCTCCGGCAGACTATCTCGGAAGAAGTCGTCTGTAAAACGCTCCGCATGCGGCCTGCAGGAGTGCGCGGCAACAACTCCTTCAATAAGCTCAAACAGGCAAAGTCTGGAGTGGAAGAAGCTCTACCGAGGCCGGTCCTCTTGGCAAGCAAGCTTGCTATATCGTGCTATGTGACTGCTACCTATCGGCTGTACCGGGCACCTTTCATCCAGCGGTGGATAGTCAGATGGCGGATCTGGAAGGGAATTGAAGAGCTCTGCCCAAATCTTAGCTTGAAAAGCTTCAACAAGGATCCCAGAGCAGCACATGCAAGTGGTCTTGGGCTTTCACACTCGAGCCCGCCATGTGCTGCGCCTAGGCGGAGACCCTCTACAATGCGGCTTATTTGCACCTGTGCAAAATGCGTACCACATCAAAGTGTGGAAGCTGCCTGCAACTGAGGCCAGCACTGATCTAAACGCTTTTAGGTCGAATCGCGAAGACTACATGCTCTTGTTGCTTGCACTTCGGGCCAGCTAATCAATGGAAGCCAGTGGAAACATCTAATGAACTTCAAACACTAAACGGCAACATGCATGTGTCCGAGAAGAGGTAGGATCACGCAAAATCTTGTTCCACATCCTCGCTGCGGGGCATCAGCATTTGCTGAATCTCTTGGTTGTCAAGGGGGCATGTTGTCCGAATCCTCAACCATGCATCAATGCAGCCCACATGATATGAGTGCGTGCAGGGCAGGGTGCAGACCATCTCACCAGCTGCCATTGCCTGGTGGCATATGGCACATGCCTCCATGCTGCCTGTGAGCTGGGAGCAAGGAAGGGCCGCTAGTACAGCAGCTAAGGCTGATTCAGACTCCAGATTCAACGGCTGTTCCATAACCGATTCAGTCGCAACGGCTGTGACCTGCTGGCTTGGCCATCGCGAGGCCGGCAAGTAGCTCCACGGCACCAACCGTTGAAGAGAGGTGCGGGAACGGCGTGTACGCCCCAACTCCCCAAGTGCGTCGCCCAATGTTGCTTCCGAAATTGTTGGGTGATAAGCGATGCGCTGCCCGACTGCCTGAAGCCGTGCCCTCCAGATGCAACCGACATGGATCCATGTGGGGCGTAACAAATCCTCCTGCATGTAGCCCAATCGCAGCTCCCGCATCCTAAACATCTGCCGGCATGTGCCGCAATTCCGCGCGATGTCGCCGCGAAAAGGCTCCAAATACACAGCCGAGAGAGTCGTTTCAAACCGTGGATTGTGTAGAAATCTTGCTCTTGCTGTAGACCCGCGAACCTGTTGGGTAGTGGGTAGAATCATCTCCAAATCATCAGAAATCTTGACGATCATGGAGCCTGCGGGTGACCTTGATCTTCTCGAGTCTGTCTGGCTGCCTCCAGCCTCGCAAGGTGTCGGCCGGCTGAATTTGCGTCTTGCAGCCCGTGACGGTGCAGACACTTCCAAGGCATCTTCAATGATAATGGGGAGTAAGTCGAAATCGACAGTCTCATTCTGTGCTGGCCCCGCACTGGAGCCCCCGCCGATGCCATGGATGTGACAGGCCATGGCATGCTCACATTTGCTTGTTGGAGCTACTGACATTCCAGTCATGGTATCGCCGCATTGCAAGGGCGTCTCAGCTTCTGTTCATGGTACCATGCTTCCATGCAAAGTGCTTGGGCCCCAGCAATTTGGCAAGGAAGCTCGTGCGCGGACAAGCTGCGTGTTGTCTCTCACTGTCGCTGACTAATCTACAAAGACTCGTAAGGCTGGGGCGATGTCTATGGGCGACTGGTCCTGCACGACTGCTTTCAGAGGATGCTGAAGATGCTCTGAAAATCTTTGTAATTGCATCCAAAGGGCCCCGAAGTTGCCACACCGCGAACCTTTGGGGAGTGTCTTGGGATGCATGATTGAACCATCTGCCGGAAGAAATGCCCGCGAATTTTGGGCAAGGAGCTGATCTTGGTCCAGTGTCCCTGGTTTGCATATGTCCACGGTGGGCCCTGCCAGCTGCCGCGGAAGCAGCGGCGCGGCGAAGTCATGCCAACTCCGCGCGCAATCCAAGCAGCTCGACAGCCAGCCTCGGCAGCCTGTCTGCGTGGTGAGGCGGACGAGTGGCTAGACGCAAGCGCCTCCCCGGTTCAGCTTGCATTGCAAGATATGGAACAGCTCTTGGACGACCAGGAGCCATGCTACATCTGCCGTGGACAGCAGCAAGAGGCTTCGCGTGGCCTATGTCAGGGCTGTGATGACAGGGCCCCTGGCCACCATGGCTGAGCAAGTTGCCGCTGAAAGATGGCCCATCACCCTCGCGTCTTGTCACCTTGCCAAGAAGCAGCGTGAAGCCGTCAAACATGTTGTGTCTTTTCATCTTGCTTGCCTTGAGCTGCATGCGTGGCACATTGCTCGTTTTGGGCTAAGAGTGTTACAGGAGTGGTCCCCTACAGGGCTGGATCTCAGGGTGAGCTGTTGATTCCTCTATGAGCGGACATGCTTCAACGAGGCATGCGGCAGCACCAGATTTGAAAGCTGTTTGAGTTTGCCACGTCAACCACCTGTTTGCTCAAGCCTGCGGCTGAGGAAAGTCGCCAAAGCTGCTTCAGCCATGAGATCCAGCAGGATCCAGCACAAAATCAACAATGTGAAGATCAAAAACTATGATTCACAACAAGTTGAATTCTAGCCAATTTCGGCCAAGCGTGGACAGTCTCAGGGATTGGGGTTGGGGTCGTGCTCCTAATAACTGTCAGTGCTTTTTGACTCATGGACGCTTCAACAGGGTCGACAGTCACAGCGGTCGGGGTCGTGATCATCTTCATAATCGTCGCTTTTGGACCCTCACGAGGAAAAATTACGCAGATGATGAACAGTGATGAAATTATGAAAGAGGATCGTAACGGAAAGGATGATGATGATGATGATGATGACAAATGATGAAAACCGTTGGACAATCATGGGAATGATGAATGAGCATGGTGAAGCTGATAAAAACCATGAAAATGATGAAAGATATCACAAACCATTAAATCCTATGAAGTATGCTGGAAAACATGAAACATGACGAAAGGGAATAATAACAACATCATATGAACAATGCTGAAACGTGATGAGTGATGACATATAATGCTGGCACAATCGCTCTTCCCAGTTTGGTTCTGCTCCTCGAATCAAAATGTGTGTCCACCAAATTGGTTGCAATCAATATTCCATGCTTGGGGAACAGACAAGACTAATTACAATAAAGTAGCAACAATACAGAGATCTGTACCAAGAAGGTAACTACAGCACCGGATAGCCTGGCTCGTCAAGTTTTCAAGTTTTTCTACGGATGCTTGCGTGTAGGGGTGGGGGGTGTTGCAGAGCGCAAACCCTCTCCATTTGCACATCATGCAAGAGAACCGAAATCATCAAAATGATTGCATATAATGAAAAGATAGTGAAAAGATGTAAAAATGATGAAAACCCCGGTACATGTTGAAACCTTCTGAAACGTCACTAGAAATAGTGAGAATGTTGAGATATTATGCAAGATGATGAACATGAATGAGTCAGAATGGAAAATCATGGTAATCATGGAAAATCCAGATGATGCAACATCATGAAAAGAACGGACAATGACGAACATATATGAAAATCATGAAAATGACGGCAACTGATGAAAACGCAATGAAAATTGTGGAAAAATACCGAAGCGATTAACCATAATGCTACTATCTTTCTTTCTTTCTTGCGCGCTTGCTCTCTCCTCCTGTCGTTCGGAACATAACCAGGCGATTTATGGCGGTTAGAGGAGAACTATAGGAAATCTGCAAGCAATTCAGTATATAATCCGCTTTTGATTGAATCAAATTATTTGAACTCACAAGCTTTTTTCCTGTTGATTGTGATATGATCTTTTTGGATAGGCATCCCATGTTAGAAGGTTTTCTGCAGGCTCGCTTCTCCCGGAAAGCACACCACTACTGTCACTCGGTCTCAGCAAAAGCTCCGCCCTCTTCTTTTTTAGGATGCCCATTCACCGTCAACTGTGTCCGAGCCGTGGCAGCTAGTGCGCACCGGGCGAACCGATGGCCCGCCACTTGCATCAGACCTGGTCGGGACTGCGCTGTCTGCGAGGAGACATTCGTAAAAAGCTTGGGCAGCCACAACAGGCTTCATGCGCATGGCTAGCGGGAGGCAGCATTCCAAGAACTTGTTCCTTAGCAAATCCGAGACTGGCAGGGTTGCGTGCAAAGCAGGCCTCTAGATGCGATATGCTTTTGCATATCACCACTCAACAGTCCACCTGCGTGTGCCTGACCCCCACTACAACAACTAGAAGACAGATGCCAGACACATTAGGATGCTGGCCTCTGCAGGAACTTTGCGAGGTTGTGAATCCTGATCAAGACTGCAACAGTATGTCTAAACATCCCAGGTCTGCACACCAAGTTTCCATGCATGTGTCGGTCGTGTTTTTGCTTCTTTGCCAGTGTTTTCTGGCGTGTCGTGATGCTATCCTTCCGCGCTTCGTCTTTCCGAAACAAGAGAAAACGGCTCAGATGCTGTGCTAGTGACCAGTGCCGCGTTTCCTCGTACCAAAAACTCGCTCGCTTGTTCTGCTGGCTGTCGCATGGGCAATCCTGCGGCGCTTGTCCTTCCAACAGCCGTGCTATCCTGCAGCGCTCCTCAAGTCTAAGGCAAACACGCAAACCCGTAAATCAAGATATCGGTCATGTTGCAGAATGCGTGGAGCCAGATTGTGCATCCAAGTGTCTGAAAAGCAGCCACGCCGGTAATGAGAAGTATCTGACAAAGAGCATGGTCACTGATTCGTTGCGTTAATAATGTGTCGTACCGATTCATGCTCACGCTCTTCGTCAACGGCCTGCAGAAACTTGAATGCTGCCACATCCATGTTCACGGCTTCTGAAGCCTTCACGAACTTGGCCTGTTGTTTGTTCTGTCAAAATCTGCACAACCGAATTTTGATACGCTGAATGTACACGCGCCTCAAAGCTTTTCTCATACTCATTTTCTGTGCTGATGGCCTGCTTTCAACGTCATCCCAAAGACTGAAATCTCACACATCTGGCAGCATCCAGAACCAAGCACTGGCCAGAGGCACATTTATTCTTTCCAGAATCAGGTCCACCTGAGCCTGCAACAAAAGGTAACTCGGTCGAAAGTTTTAAGGGCTCCCATCAACTCCCTGAGCTTTTCTGCCCATGCAGGGTGCCCATGGCGGTGTGGCTTGCTACTTGTATCCGAATGAACGGCCTTTTTGCAAACCACACACTCACCGGCTAAATCACCAGCGCTCTGCACTAGTCTTGTAATACTACACTTGCGTTAGATGGAACTAAATGCGAGAGTGGTCAGTCGGCTGTAGCCGCTTTGCTTTGGCTTCATTTGGCACTTCGCGCTTAGCACTCGGACGCTCGTACTTCCTGCTTTGAAGTCTCTGCGGCTGTCAGCTCCTGCTTTTCGGAGCTGCATGGCATGGTCTTCGGGCCTCCTCTGTGCTCTCCATCCTTTCCTTGGTTCCTTTCTTGTCTTTCGCGGCTTTCTGATGCATCCACACCTTTTGCCATGGAGCCTTCCCTCCAGCGCGGCCCGCCCTGCGTTAGAGCCGACGGCTGTGAGCCAGAAACAAGCCTGCTTAGCAGAAGAAGATCTGACGAGGGTTCACGACTGGACGTAACAAGTGCGCAAGGCCTGTGTGCCTTTCAAGAGTGAGAGGCTGGCTGCGTTTTTTGGGTCCTCTCAGCAGGGCAAGTACGCTTTCATCCAGTGAAATTGCAGGCATGTCCGGCAGCAGACCCATGCTGGAAGCACCTGAACAGCGTGAGAGCTTGAAGTGGCGTGCCTTGTGATGGCTAAAAAGCAAGCTGGGTGGCCAAGGACGTCGAAAGCAATGGACCTGACTCCACATTGCTTGAGCGGCAGTTGCACAAAATGCAAGTGTTAACAACAGGCAAGGCAGGCCATCGCAACTTCCTGCGCACACTCGCACGTGACACCGTGAAAGTTCACTCACTGCGCCCACATGTCCTCCTGTGGCCGAAGTCCAGAAGTGAAGAACCCTACCAGGCATGACAGAATATGACAGATGTCTTGTCAAGCCCTCCCCTGCACCAGTCATACAGAAACAAGATTACCCAACATGAACAGGTTTTGACTGCACGGTTTCTGGGAGCCCATGCTGCACAGATGTGCACCATGTGCACCCCATCGAAGCACATCGCTGGCAAAACAGGTTCGAATGACAGCGATCCCGCATTGACCCATCCCTCAGGCTGACCTCGGGCAGTTTTATTCAGTCAAGAACCAACCAGTCCAAGTCTGAGTCGGCCGATGGGGCGGGTCAAGTTTTGAGCGGGTCCGGTCAGCCACCCAGGCCATGCATGACATTAAATTCCAAACTCCGGCCCTCCTCAGCACCAAAGACGCTGAGCCCCCTACAAGTCCCTCTGAGCTCTAGACCCGGAAGCTTATCCCGAGCCCGGAGCCTGCCGGCTTCATTCCACCTCACACCACCCAAGCCCAAACCAAAAGAAACCGTAAACCCCAAACCCGAAAGCCTGGATCATACCCAAAATCCTGAAATATACATCACGAAATCCAAGCCCTGAAATCTACAGTATCTGGAGCCCAAAGCTCTACAAATCTTTAAACCATTCCTTGACCCCAAACTCTAAAATGGATTTACCAAAATTCAATCATCCCGTAGCCCGGCAACCCTAAGTCAGCCTTTAATCCTAATTAAACCCCTAAACATAAGTCCTGCCTTAACCCCAAACCCCTGCAGCATTTCCCCTAACCACAAACCTCAAGCTTTATAAGCCTTCAATCAATCCTCTGAACCAATCCCACACTGCAGTCATCCCGCGCCTAAAGCCTGCCTTGACAACACCTTGGTTTGACTCCAAAAATGCAACCCCAAAGCATCTTTTAACGGCCAGACCATCCCTTTTACATCACTCTTTAACCCCTTAGCCCCGAGCCCATACTCGCGAAGCCCAGGCATCATCCCTTAACCCGAAAACCTATCTCATTAACTTTAACCATAAACTCCTGGTGGCGAACTCACCTCCTTCCTGGTGGATTCAGCGGACTCGACAGTTTGGTGGACTTGCCATTTACCCCCTTTGCACTTCCCTGGGCTGGTGGAAGAGGGCTGGAAGATGGAGCGTGGAGGACTGGAGCAAGCCTGGAGCAGTAGGGCTGCGGCTCGAGTAGATGATGCAAGGGGCTGGAAAGTGCCAAGCGGGGTTTCGTATGGGGACGTGCGCTGCAAAAGTCATGGGATTGAACCTTCTCGAAAGTCTAACTGGCCCTGCCTGCGCTGCACAGTGGACACAGATGCTGTGAGTCCCAGTAACTCTGGGAAGCAGGGCCAAAGCCTTTGCAGAGCATGATGTCAGCTAATAGCTACTAGATTCGCTAGATGCTCGCTGCAAGCTTCTGAGGCTGCAACTCCGCTGCTGCCATCTACAAGAGCATGGTCCTTCACGACCTGCAAAATGAAGCCTAGACCTGTGTCCTTCATGGCTCCGGTTGGATCTGCCTCTTCAGACGGGCTTTTCACCAGGATTCGACACTCCGCTAGGGGCAACACCTCAAACACAATAGAGCCTTCTGCGCCCGCACTGACCTAGCTTCGAAGCGCATAGGAGCCTCTTTGTCATTCATGTTGTACATGACGCGTAAGATCTGCCAGGAGTATGACGGCTAACCAATTTGAGATGAGCTGGACGCATACCTCTCAGGAAAATCTGGCCTGGTTGTCGAGGACCTGGTTCCAGGAGCAACCCAGACAAACTAACAATCAAGTGAAGCGGGTTCCCGGTCCCGCACAAGTAGGATGTGCTACAGTGCCGAGGGGTCATGTGCGAACCAGGGCACTGCACAAGCAGGCGTCATTGAGGATGAGTCCAGCAGCAGAGTTTAAGGATGAGTCTACCAGCGAGACTTTTGTCAACCTGCCCTGAGGAACTTCTACCGAAGCAGTTTCCTTGCGTGCTCATGGGGCACTTCAGGGTGGACTAGACATCCGTGCTGTTTGCGGACTATGCCCAGCAGGTGGGATGTTGTAACAGTCGCACGGGTAGCTTGGCCCAACTTGGGCATACTCTTCGTCGGGAATTGCGTGCAACAAAGCCTGCATAACAAAAGCTCCAGTAATTAGAGTTCCCGTACAGATGTTGTAAGAACTGAGATTCAATGCCCAGGGCATGGCATCGAATTTTCAAGCAAGCTCCCGTCAGCTCAGCCCGCGGCCTCTTGCTGGAAACACCTCTCAGAGCCTTCCTGGCAGGATTTGATTTTTCGACAGCGGCCCCATCCCTGTCCACGGCCTCGACAAAGAAGTAGGCGGCGCGCACATGCACCACAAACCTCGAAGGGGCTTGGGTGATAACTGTCTGGCCTTCATGAATAGCTCCAGTGCCAAGTCCTGAACACAAGAAGCTGCCAAAGCATGACTTGGCATTGGCAGAGACTCTCTGGATGATACAGCTTGGGTAACGCATTCGATTCTTTGGCTTTCTGGAGTGCCGCTAAGCTTCAAACGGTTTCTTCAGTGCTCTGTGAAGTTCTATTGATTGATAGCACAGTCACAGTCAGAAACGAGATGAGCCTCAACTCAGCAATTCTTGTTCCGCTTAAGAGTGGCAGCAATGACTGCTGATTAAGTTTAGAAAGTCTGACAAGTCTGAACTTGGATTTCCTGCTCTTCTCAAAGCCAAAGGCTGCAAGTAGGGAATCCCTGGAAGGACAACAATGCAAGCAAAAGAATCAGACTCTGGCTGATGTACTGTATAGCTCATCGGCAACACAACTCCGTGCAGAGTCCACCAGATTTTACCTGAAACCTTCCGAAGCTTGGACGAGGTTGCAGAGGTGACAGAGTCCTGTCGAGATTCATGCTCATGCTCGAGGATGTTTTCCTCTCCTGGGCAATCAGAACAGTGGCGAGAGCCTGCAATGACTTTGCAGGCACCTTCATGCGCGGGGCAGGGCTTGAACAAGCGAGGTCCGCCAGAATACTCACGCTCACAAGGGTTGCAGCAGAATCGACCAGGCAGCGCTTGGGCGTGGCAGTCATCGTTGGCGCAAAGATTGTGGCGTATCGGCCGAGGCATCCGCAAAGCAGGTCGCAGCAGTGTTCTCTGGTGCTTGAACGGGCACCCCTTCAAGATGCAGGCATGCAAGTAGGGGCACAACGGAGGGTCTTTGAAGATCATCTTTCGCTTCAGAATCCTCAAGTCTGGCACCGGGCTGGCCACATCCGGCTCTCCCATTGGCATCAGGACGACTGTAATCAGTTTCCGGTCAAGCGTTCAAAGCATTGAGCATGGGGAGGCCTCTGCAATGCGAAAACATGCGGCTTGCCCTTGTACACTGTTACAATCCGCTTCTCATATCAGGAACATTAGCTAGCACCCGGGTCTCGTGTAGTGAACACAGCATGGGCTCAGAGGACATGTACTTCTCCTTCTTCCCTTTTTGTTTATGCTCTTGATGTGCTTCTGAACAAATGCTACAGCCAGGCAGAGCATCTGAGATCTACAAAGCATAAAGCAACGTCGACAATGACAGGAAATGCCGATGCGTCAGCAATAAACTATTTACGGGCTTCAAACATCACAGGTGCCCATATGGGCCCCTTGACATAACCCCTTGAAACCTCAAGGCTGAATCCTTTAGAAGCCCTGTTCTCAAGAGCTTTCCACACAGGAAAGGCTAGGTGTTGGAAACGTTGAAACCTTCGTTTGGCGAAAGCATGGGCCGTTCTGACCATTGCTGTGGCGAAATGGCTGAAGCATGTTGAAGCTCAAGACTTGCCTCGCAGTCGTCTCGCGTTGCATGTCCTGCTTTTCTTCAGTCACGTGGCCAACGAGCTTCACAGCCATTGGGAAACTTGGAATCTTCAGGCGCCGAGTGGATGCCAACCCGGCCTGAAGATAGTCTGAATGATAGTCTGTTGAATCGCAGCACAATGGCCAGGCGGAGCATTCCTCGTTGTTGGCCGACTTGATCCACTTGAAGCTGTGAGATTCAATGTGCTCAAGAACTGCGAGGCAGGCGAGCCACATGATCTGCACTTCAGTAACGAGCACGTTTCCTCTGCAAACTGCCGCAGGATAGAACAAAGGTCGCCTTGCCGCATGCATCAGCATGCTGACTAGCTAGTCCCTTTGACGTCAGTCATGAATTCGAACAGGACTGTCAGATGAGACTTTTTTGGCCGAAAGAGGGCTGAACGCGTGCAGCACACGTCCGGTGGACGCTTTCGAGTGTCGTCAGCAAGGCTTTTACACGCATAGGACAGGAGCTAGGCATTGCTAGCTTGAAATGACAAAAGGCTGGCAAATGGTACACGGCGGGTTGGACCAAAGGTACAACCATGCAAACGCCGTAACGTTGCTTGACTTCGGCAAGACATCATGGCAAAATGGCCTGCTTTTCAGACTGTGAATTCTCAGCCCTCTCTGCTTCTGACGGGCAGGCTTGGCTGGAGAGAACAACATCCACGTTCCAGGGCCTTGAAAGCAACACTGACGAAGAGCATACAGGCAAAAATACACAATGCTTGAAACCTTTGTAACCCTGAACAATACTTTTCCGACATAGCACTTGACAAGGTTGATAACGAAGCCATTCTGATCCGGGCCTGAGAAAGGAGTTTGCACATGCATCCGTCAGCGAGACGAAAGAAGAGCCTGAGATTGGAACAATACCGAACAGTGTATTCCGAGCCTGAGAGATCGCACCTTGGTCGCAGCAGGATCCAAGTGTTTAGACACTCCAGAACACGAGGCCGCGGACCCGGGACCGTCAGCAATAGTGATGACATTGTCGTTGTTTTGGAAAGCTGCCCCGGTGCACTGCCCAGTCTGCGGACCCGTCATTTCCATGTCAACCTTGCAGGTTGGAACATGGTGCATAGTTGGGCAACGGAGTCAGCATATGCATCACCCATACCAGTCGCCCTGGTCGTCACGCACTTGATGAAGTCAATCACGGCTGACAACTGTCAAAGCAGCTGCTAAACAAATAAGGGCAGAAATGGTCACTCAGAACAGATTCAAGACCGAGACCAAGAAACACTCCGATGCCTAAAGCACCTGCTGTCCATGTTAGGCTGGAGCTATGTCCCGGCCCCAAATTCACCAGCCACCAGCAGCCCTTCAATCCGAAAACTAGCGCAGCTAGACGCACGCTTTTAGACGCCATTGGGTGCTAGCCGGTGACCGGCTAAAAATGAAGCACTTTTCTCTCTCGAGCTTCTGCTGGTTCTGCATGTCAGTAATTATGAATTATGATGTGTGTGCTGCAAGCCGTTACAGCTGTGACTTGCTGTCTCACATGGACTGAAATTGCATCAAACATCCAGGTTGAATGTCAAATCGCGTTAAAGACTTTCAGCTCCGTTTGCAGGCATCTACTTCCACGAGTGGTTTCATCTTGGGTCTTGTCGCCTGATGTCCCTGCGCGTGGCCTTTCGCTGTACATCTCTGTATTTGGCTGAGCCGTGGTGAATTGAGTGGCGTGATGTGGCTTAGCTTGGCTGTCAAGTGGGCTGTCCCTCGCTTCCTTTCTCATACCTCGGATGCCATGTGCAAGGCACCCGAAGGCCAAAGCAGAAGCCAAGTGGCCACTCCAGAAGCCCCATCGTAGCTTACAACCTTGATGGCAAAAGTCTCGACCAAGAGTCGGCCACCGTAACCTTCAGGAGCAGGTAAGCAGCGGATCAAAGCATGGACCATCTTGAGGCACTCGACATGCTATCATACGCTATCTGCTGCTTAGAGAAAGTCTTGTCACGCGTGAGGGCATGGGAAGCAGAGAGGAGCTGGACACGGCCAAGTTGCAGAGTGGAGCACCACTTGGGAAGTCTCCAGTGCCGGTACATTGCGGAACTTCACCAGAGCTGCTCAAACCTCCTTGCCATGACAGAGCGCAAGTCTCACGTAAGTTTCATCTGAAAAGGCGGAGAAATAGCCCGCTCTCAGCTGGATGGTTTCTGTCCCAAGACCCATCTCGCTTCCAGCTACGAAGTCTTTTCAATGCGAGCGGAACTTCAGAAGCAAGCTGATGATTGCAGCACCTAGCTTGAACCTTGACCTATGCCTGGAAAAAGAAGCAGACAGGGCACGTGCGGGCAGGTCATCTGTTGGCCCATTGGGCGGATGCAACTCAGGCCTCAGGGCTTCCGCTCAGAAAGCTTTCGCTCTCTCTAGGACATCTTCAAAGTAATCTGTAGGCCTCTGCGGCTCTGCAGCTGCGAATGCAAAGGCAAATGCCAGAACAAAGCGGGCCATGAGGCAAGAGAAGCGTGCCCTGCTACTACTTGCAACTCCAGAGTTGTCTCATAAAATGCTTCGACAAGGGAAAACAACGTCGTTCGTGCTCGAGGCACACCAAACAGCGAGCTTCAAATACTTCGACCTTTGGCACTCTTGGTCAGCTCGCTCTGTCCTCCGTGTCTGGTGAAACGGGCAGGTGCATCTTGACGTGAACTCGTCTTGGTTGCTCAAGGCTGCTCGAATGCAGCTCGACCTTGATTGGAGTGATAAATTAACTAAATGCCTCGTCAAAATTGGTCAAACCACAACCTATCCCAGCATTCGTCTTGCCCAGTGCTGGCACCTCCCGGCGGAGATGACACGAGAGCAACTTCTGCGAGCACCTGGCACCGTCTCTTTGCACAGCAGCATCCTAAGCGAAACGCAGTGCAAGTCCGCCTGATGTGGCCTGCTGGCCCAGCCTCAGTCAATCAAAAGCTGTGCCCGCGTGCCCGGCGCCAAGCTTGAGCCTGCAAGATGCTTGGACACCAGCCGTCTACGAAAAGATAGAGGTAAGCCAGATAATCTATCAAACCTCCGGGTTTGCATTGCCAAACAAACTACCACACCATCTAGGGAACAAGCTGTGAGCAGAGGCTGGAGCCGACTATGGTTGCCAGAATGAATGTGAGCATCACCTCAGATCTGATTCTCCATTCTGGTGCCACTCTAAGAGGACGGAAAATGCCTGTTTGGGGCTGTGGTCGCCGTTGTACCAACCTGAGCCCAGGAACGCTCGGTCCGTCCTTTATGGCTCACGTCTTTGAGCGCCGTGTGCGCCTTAGACTTTGACGGGCCCAAGGCATCAGCGGCATCAAGAGCAAGAGCAAGATAGCTACCTGGATTTCAAAACACCTTGCCCGCTGACATGAACACAACTTGCTAAGAGACAGACAGCTGGTAAATGTTGACGTGCTGCCTGCAGCAGCAGAGGCGGGCGGACCAGAAGTCTAACACCCTGTCTGTCTGCCCCTAGACCTTCTGAGAGCAAACATCTGGAAACGTGAAGAATCTGCAGAAATCGGCTGCTCATGCAAGTGAATGGCTCACTGGAATCCTAGCATTGCCAAACTGAGCTGGCTCTTCACAAAGTGTTCGAAACCTACCCCCGTACTCATTGATTGACTAAAGCACTAAGAAGAACTTAAAGCCCGGATCAAATTAATCGTCCAGAAGCGCGTATCATGTTGCCATGTATTCCGGATGCATGAAATGAAACCACTGCTGGAATCACGGCCAGTGGCAATCCCAACTTACTCTCTACACCACAGGGCAAACGCATTTTACTCGACAGAAATCGGCAGACCACAGATGCTTCAAGCACGTGTGCCTCCAGTGTGTAGAATGTCAATACACACTGACATATCCTGGCGGGCCATGAGATGTCTTGAGTCTTTGGACTTATCACTGCGCAACTGAGGAAAACGCAGCACATGGCCAGAAGGCATGCCAGGGAGAAGCTTACCGTCCTCCGTCCTGCACAAAAAGCGTCTCGCAATTCACAAGACTTCAAAACCATCATGCTGTGTCTCCTGCAAGCGGATGTTGTAGGCCGTGGCTCATTGATGAGGGGCTTCAAAATGAACTGCCACACTGCAACGGGCTGCTATGGAAAGCAGCACAAGACGTGACCTACTACCAAAGCCTCCGATAGGATGGATGCAATGATCACCTTGGCAGTGACATTGTGCACTGCGCATCTCTGCGCATCACTGCAGCATGCGCGCACTTCTTGAAAAGCATGCTTAGCTGCAAACCGAGGTAAGCGTGAAGGCGCTGGAGATTCGCCTACGTTCGCTGGCCACGTCTTCCGCAGGTTGTCACGTTGTACCGTCCTACCTCTGAACCACGGCATCGACCAGCAGGACAATTGGCAGGCCCCACGGGGCGAAACTGCCACGGGCAAACTGCATTCTCATGCACCATTTTGGGGCTTCAAACGGCGAATTAAGCTCGGCCGAAATCCCTGTTTCTCCCCTTCACCCGCTCCTTAAGAGCAGCATGCTCTATAGCTGCAACATACTTGGAACCGCGCTGGCAGTAACCCCTTGGCTTCCCTGTCGCCAATTCTTTGACGCGCCTGATAAGAAGGGCCAGTATAGGCAGTGGTTCGCAGTCCAGCCTGGATGGAGCTAGACCTACTCGTCCAAAACCGTCCAAAGCTCTCGTCTCAAACATCTGAAAACATAATTTTAATGAATGGCTTTCGAGCAACGGTAGCCGGACAGTCACTTGACCGACCTGGGTAACAGGCCAGCGCTGATTGAGCAGTCGGATCACGCTTTGTATCAGTCGTATGGATTCAGTGCAGCGTCAATTGGCAAGCAGTGCTTGCAGGGAGGAGTCATGAAGGGGAGGATACGAGCACACCACCGCAGCGCGAAAAAACAGAAAATATCCATTTCGAACATCCCCACCCTTACCCTTTGTGAGCATGCATCAACAGTACAATTCTAAATTGTTGTGCAAGGCTGCAGATTTAACAACTGTGCATTCCAAGCGCTAGTGTTGGGGTCGCGGGGCTTGGATCTTAAAAGCTACCATGCTCTGGGTTTGGGCTCTCCAGGGGTACCCCGAAGTTGGTCACTGCAGCGAGTGATTGGGGCGCTGCAAGGAACCTACTGAGCATTGTGGGTTGAGCGCAGCAAGGATATCCTGAAGTTGGGCAGGGATATTCTGCGGTTGAGCGCTGCAAACAGGGAGACTTTGGGGTTGGGTGCGGGGCGGGAAGGCAACTCTGGGGTTGAGCATATGGTACGTTTATCCTGTGTTTTTTCATCACGCTACTTGGTCTCAATCTGAGCATTGCTCAGGGAAAGCTGACGCTGCTCTACCAGTGGCGCGGACATGCTACTGCAGCCAAGAAAAGCCAGTGTCGGTCTGGTGTCTATGCTTGTGTCTGATGCCCAAGAGGCCGTGTAAAAGCACATATTCGATGAGATATTCGGAGTAATTTCTGCTCTTCTGAAAGATCATGTGCAGATTCAGTCTGGGCTCGCGGTTCACAGCCCTTCACGGTTGGTCTGAAAATGAGACCCGGTATACATGAAAGTATTTGCATCACTACCAGCTTCTAGCAGCCAGCTTGCTCTCGGCTTGCCAACTCTTCTGGCGTGCTCTATTCTGGTTACTTTGTTACGTGCTCAAAGAGGACTTTGCGCATTGGGTCATTCGAGGGAGTTGCTGGGATGAGACCTAATAGATAATGTTAGTTTCGTCTGTTTCCACTTCGAGGATAGACTCACATGTCTGCATCCATAAATCTGGGACAACGTATTGAAGATTCTCTGAGCGGTCCAGCTTCAATCTAAGCGTGTTGGCGGTACTTTGAACACACGACGAAACATCTTGATCTGGAACACATCTATTTGATCTTGCTCACGTGGTGTAACTTGGATTGTTTCAAAAGTGTATGTCAGCTTGCCGAAAATTCCAGGATCCAACAATTTGTAGTTGTCCTTGTATTGTGGTACGGGCCTTGGTGTGTGGCTTATTCGATTCGTTTAACTACTTTGATGTGATAGAACTAGCTTAAGTGGCACCGAGGTAAGTTGCTTGCCTTTTCCTTG